CGCACCTCCATTGCCGCCTCCGCCCCCACCCCCGCCGTGATGCGCTGGACGCCGTTCTCCGCCTCCACCTGCGCAAACGTGAATCACATCTTGGACATGGCGTTTGAGGCCAGCTCAGAAATCCCACAACACCCTCAATGCGTCGCCGAAGACAGCAGGTCACCGTGGCACAGGGAGACCGTTAGGGCGTAGAGAGAGCAGGAGCGAGTAGAAGTGCGCTGTAGCAAAGTTAGGAAGTAGTAATATTCGACAAGTGTTCAGTAGTTTATTTGAACTCTGCAAAGTCGAAGAGATTTAGAAAGTTACTCAGAATTCGACAGAGCAGTTATTTGAATTGGGTGCAGTTATAGGAGATTTGGGTCGGAAATAATAGTAGTCAAGAGTAGGAGGAGCTAGATTATCACGAGGTGTCAAAACATGTCATTAATTTGGCAGCACAAGTCTAAGGTGTTGAAGGACACCGAAATTACGCCGCCAGTAACGCGCGTCAGGACTGAATATCACGCGTCGGCGTGCTACTGAGAAGTGTGGCGAAGAGCTGAAGAAAACGAGGGTGTAAGGAACCGGGGGCCAAGCGAATGAAGAATGTGGGAACCGATTCCGAGGGAAGGAAGACCTGGACGACAGCGTTGGTGCAACGTCGAGGACATCTGGACGGACGAGTGGGGCGACGGGCCGAATCTGGGACAAGGTCAGACGCGGCGGCGAAGAAGCCAGGTTTGCGATCTGCCAACTGTTAGCGCTACTACAGGTAATTAATTTGTAACGAGAGTTGAGAGCAGGCAGAGACACGAGTCCTAGAGCAGCAGCAGAAAGGCTACAGTTATAAATTTGCATAATCCCGCAGATTGTCGTACGAACTAGATCACGACAAATAATGGAAAGATAACATTTGTTTGTTTTGTTATATGAAAGCTGTGTCTGTGGTCGCTGTGAGTATCCATGACGTCACAATTGTAAGCTAATAATACTGTTCACTCATGTGCTATGTTTACGGGAAGAAGTATTGTCAATAGCAGTATAAATTTTTTTTTTATCATTTATATGTAATTTTATTAGTAAATTTGACTGTCAATAGTTATAGTTAAATAAGTCATTTGATAATATGTTGCGATTATTTGAATCAAATATTTGTGTAAAAGTAGGAATAATTTGCTGTGTGTATTATAATATTCAAATCAAGAGATTTTTACGTTTTATTACTTTCAAACGGTGTTGGCCAAGCAGTAGTTACCGTGCTCGGGCACGTGTGAAGGTATTTAATTAGAAGGAGACGTTCCAGTCAAAATTGACAAATGATGTATAGTTTTCAACGTTTTTAAAGGGTTATATGATTTTGTGTTACATTTGTGTGTTATTTGCTATCTGGTTTTTGTATTTTGTTCAGTGCTGTTATAAGTGGTCATATTCTGGAGAGAATGTACGCACTATTTACCTGATTCTGTGTCTTGGCGTTAATCTTTCTCTTACCCCAAAAGATCCTACCACCTAAGATCTCAAAGCTCAACTGGAAGATTCGTTCTGTCACCGCCACGACCGAGGTAACTTGCGTTAGAATATGTATAATATATATTATATACATACAAACACAAGGTCCGGGGAGGAAACGTGGAAACTTCGCAAAGAAGATCTTAAGACCATTTTAAGCGTATTTTGTCTAATAAACTACTGGGATATTCCGAGCGGTTGAGCTGCAATAAAAACTCAAAAGTTGGTGTGAAAACAATGCTTTCTAGGCACACATTTGCATTGAAAAAACACAGAAACACTCTAGACACATGTAAATTGTTTATTATTTACAAAAGAAAAGGATACACTTGTTCAGAAAGAAAACTAACCGAGAAATAAAAAAAAACAGTCTAAATGTGTAAATTGGGTGTTTTTTACTTCTGTGTGATTTTTTTGCTATCAGAACAAATATATTCATTTATTTTGTAAATAATAAACAATTGTAAATGCATGAATCATTCACTAACAAAACACGTGAAAACGAATGAAAATGCGTAAAAATGACAAAAATGACGCAATGACCCAGAAAAATGACCTATGAGTTGAAAAAAAACATTTCTATCATCTATAAATCGTGATAAACATTCATTTACACATTAGCAACATCTAAAATGCACCAATGAAAAGATAATGTCACCAGAATCCGAGCCCTGGTGATGATGAAATCCAAAAACTAAGTGTAGAAGCTCGAACATGGACGGAATTTGGTCACAGCTGTGAGGATGACTAGCATGAGTGCCAGGACTACGCCGACTGAGGTGACGTCATCGAATGAGGGAAGTGTATGTACAATGATAAATTACAAAACATAAATATAAAAATTT